TTAGGAAAAAGAGACAGTTGATTGGTGGAGTAAATTCTACGTCTCGCTAGGAGACCAGGAGAAATGTGGTCCTTACCTCAAGAAAGGATACGATACCCTCAAAGTAAGCCAGCTCCATTTCCTCACACAACACTCATAAACTAATCATTCATCTTGGTCTATGTATTTCAAATAGTACATACGCTCCTCTTTGGTTGTTACAGACAACTTGAATGTGAGTGTTGTTCATTTTCAGATCTATGACTGCGAACTGGAAGATGTCCCAGAATTCAAAGGGCTTACTGATTTCTGCGACACCTTCAAACTCCAGCAAGGCAAGAACGACAATGGCGATGATGATCCCACTGTGGTTGGAGAGTTTAAGGTTGTCTAACATCATTTAGAACAATAATATTTGGAGATAGAGAAAAACGTTAATTAACTACAACGGGGGGACTACAGTGAACTTGATTTCTTTGTTTGAGTGTGGGGTTTACTCTTGTACCTGCAGGGTTCGTTCAAAGTGTACCCCTTGCCAGATGACCCAGGTGTAGCTCCTCCACCGCGTCAGTTCAGAGAACTCCCAGATAGCGGACCTCAGGAGTGTCTGGTTAGGATTTATGTGGTTCGGGGCATCGACCTCCAGCCCAAAGACAATAATGGCAGTGTGAGTGTTAATCTGCATTACCTACAGTAATACAAATCTTGTCAAACATAGTACGGTCAGTACCGTTTCTTGTCTTTTCTGCTCAGTGCGATCCATACATAAAGATATCACTGGGAAAAAACACGATCGATGACAGAGACCACTACCTACCCAACACCCTCAACCCTGTGTTTGGAAGGTAAACCTTATGTGTCAATGGATTCAAACAGGTATAAATAGAAAATTTATTACATCTTAAGATTTCTATAACTGTCCTTTTTGTTGTTTAGGATGTTTGAGATGACGTGTTTCCTGCCCCAGGACAAGGACCTGAAGATCTCTGTTTATGACTATGATCTGCTTACTCGTGACGAGAAGGTCGGCGAGACAGTGATCGACCTGGAGAACCGCTTCCTGTCTCGATATAATTCATACTGCGGCTTGCCTCAAAGCTACTGCATGTAAGGAAGCAGATGTGCCTGAGTGGGAAACCTTTTAATATTTTTTGGAAAACATGGAGTCAGAGCTGAGGAAATATTAATTCCAACTGTCCTGTCATCTAGTTCTGGCATCAACCAGTGGCGGGACCAGCTGAAGCCATCTCAGATTCTTGAGAATCTGGCTCGTCTTAAAGGACTTTCCAAGCCCAGGACGGAAGATAATGGAAATTCACTCACCTTCAATGGAAAAGAATACACACTGGCTCAGTTTGGTAAGGGGTTAGAAGTATAATAGTATAAATGAGTGATTTAGATGTTTTGTGTTGAAAAATGAGCAACAATTAAGCCCTATTATGCCCGTCTACATGCCCTCATTGTTTGGCAAAGATTAACAGTACATTTTGTCTTTAGCACATTTCACATTGCTACATATTGTTATAGTTTAATTCCCTAAAACATCTAATACTACCGTATATGTTTTATTAATTGAACAAAATTTATTTGAATGCAGCTAAAACAGCAGAATTGTTTTGAAATTCAGATGTGTCTCCAACTTTCAGATTTCAAGAAGATGAATCAGTTCATTTGAATCTCTTACTGTTTAAATGATAAATGACTGATCATCATACAGCACATTAGTCAGCTACCAAAGTGCTTTGTACAGCATGTCTCATTCATCCAATCACATACACATTCACACAAGCACTTTATTCTACATTTAAGGGCTTTATATCGAACTTTCACACTCCGATGAATGTACTGGGAGGAAATTGGGGTTCATCATCTTGCCCAAGAATACTTTGCCATGCAACTGCAGGCATTGAACCACCAACCTTCTGATTAGTAGATGCGTAGGTCGCAACAACAACACAATATTGTTGTGACTGAACTGTTTTGCCCCTATAACACCAGATTGTTTTAATACCAATCTAGTGATCGATTTCTTTTTCTACATTAAGAGAGCAACAAGGAAATTCATCAGCACTTGGGTCCACCTTATGAACGCCTCTGTCTGCACGTGCTCAGAACACAGGGTCTCGTCCCTGAACATGTGGAAACTAGGACGCTTTACAGCACCTTTCAGCCCAACCTCTCTCAGGTTAGACATCTCATACTGTACCTGTTTCTGGCTGCAATGACTCAGGCTCAGTTATTTTTGTAAAATGTATATATTGCATTGGTTTAGGGACAACTTCAGATGTGGGTGGATGTTTTTCCCAAAAGCTTAGGCCTCCCCGAGCCTCCCTTTGACATCACACCACGCAAACCAAAGAAGTAAGTGCTGTGTTTCTCTTCAGTACTTCATCGCTGCGGATGTCACTGAGAGCTAACAATGACTGTGTTCAAATATTCAGGTATTTCCTGCGTGCTGTCATCTGGAACACCACAGATGTGACTCTGGATGAGACCAGTATCACTGGAGAGCGCATGAGCGACATCTATGTTAAAGGGTGTGTTAATTCTGCATCAAAGCCCTTGTTTGTCCAAATCTATTGTTGTTTACTTTCTCCAAAATCTTCCTTTAGGAGGTAGCAGCACTTTGTGTTAGAGGGTTACTGTTAAAGGCCAATGATTATTCATGCTTGTTGTTTATGTGCTAGCTGGATGCCAGGAATGGAGGAGGACAAGCAGAAGACCGATGTCCACTACAGGTCTCTGGATGGCGATGGTAACTTTAACTGGCGATTCGTCTTTGGGCTTGACTACCTGCCAGCTGAACAACTCTGCCTTGTATCCAAGAAGGTGAGGCTTGTTGCCAGTTGGTTTATCATACTGTAGATCAAAGATTATTTTAATACCATTTTAAAAAAATAACACAGGTATTGTTGGAATTAAGTTAAAGCATGTTTGAATGTCTTCTTCTTCTTCTTTTTTATAACAGGAACACTTTTGGAGTCTTGATAAAACAGAGTTCCGGATTCCTCCCAAACTGATTGTTCAGATTTGGGATAATGACAAATTCTCACTGGATGATTACCTAGGTAAGAAACTTTCAAGTCCAACCTGTGTGTCTATGCCTAACCTTTATAAAACCTGAGTACAATGTGCTGTGATCCCAGGTACTGTGGAGCTGGATTTGCGTAACCTGGTTGCTCCTGCGAAGACCCCAGAGAAATGCTCTCTGGATATGATGGATAATGTGGAAATAGGTCCACACAAGGCAGAGCAGAACAAGTCTCTGTTTGCTCAGCAGTCAGTCAGAGGCTGGTGGCCTTGCTCTATTGAACAAGATGGGAAGAAGGTCCTGGGTGTAAGTATGAATAGAAACTTCAGTTTTCATTTGATAAGATGGAACCACAAGACATTTGGAAATGTAGAGTTAAAATACAATATTCCCAAAGTGCCATGAAGAAAAAAGATTAAGAGCTTTGGACAACACCATTATACTTCTACTTTATTTTCTATTGACTAGTCCTAAATTCCTAAATTGGAAATGTGTTACTTGCAGAACATTGTCAGATAAATTGGTCTTAATTTAGTTGAAGTATTCCAAAAATATCACAGGTCCTTGTCGTCTTGTCACTCTGTTTGTGTTGGGTTTTCAGGGCAAAGTGGAGATGACACTGGAGATTGTGAGTGAAGTGGATGCAGACGAGCGACCTGCAGGAAAAGGTCGGGATGAACCCAACATGAATCCAAAACTGGACCTTCCAAAGTAAGAGCCTGCTTTACAAGATTAGCTGGGCTGAATTTTGAAAGGTATACAGGCTATGATGTCTACTAAATACATTTTCTGTCAACTACTAGTCGCCCAGAAACATCCTTCTTCTGGTTCACCAACCCATGTAAGACCATGAAGTTCATTGTGTGGAGAAGGTTCAAGTGGGTCTTTATTGGACTTATCATCCTCATCATAGTGGTCCTCTTCATCGCCATCCTGTTGTATTCTTTACCGGTAAGGACAGACAAAAGCGAACCACTGGACACCAAAGTTTTCTCATATTATAAAATTGTTCAGTCTTATCATCTTTGTACTTATAGGAAACTTGTGAATGTGTGATTGATTGTTCTTTCTTGCATTTTACAGAACTACATCTCAATGAAGATCGTGAAACCCTTAAGTTAGCAATAAGGACAACCAGGAGCAACGAACTCCACACAGATACTGCCAGATTATCTCAACTTGTACCTTTTTTTAACTTTAGTTTTTTTCAACAAATGGGAAGGGGAGCTTGCACATTTGCACTATTTCAACATGTGAACACATTTTCTACACCACCGAACTGTGACAATACAGTCCATTACAGTCTAGTTTTGAAAGGGTTTTGTTTAAGACACTATATGGAAAAGGTGTTTCCCATTAGCCCAGTTTGGGTGATATTTAGGGATTACTTTTATTAAACAGAATATTCCTTTTTATTAAAATGTTTCCATATTTGTGGATATTATATATAAATGGGATCACAATTAATAGCTCAAAGTTTCTTAAAGTGTATTTGTATTACTTGACTGCTCAAAAATTGCAAAATTGCAATGTGGAAAATTCCATCTTTCTCATCTCGCAATGGAGACCTGATCCTTAGGGCGTAGTGTGTTTTGGGTTTTAAAAGCCACAGAGATGCTGTGTTTTGAGAAAATGTGTCTTAGATGTTCTGATACTCCTCACACTTGAGGACTCACTACAGATTTTACTAAGGCAGCAGTTGTTCTTTTTTCCCCTCCTGGATCGCCTGGAGCATTCTTTAGGTACCTTCCAAGCTTTGACAATTGTCCAGCTGGAAGTCACTTGAACAAGTGATGAAACGTTTCTCCCACTGAAAATGCTACAACCACAAAGACAGAAACAACTTTCTGAGATTTCCTTCCTGGATAAAAGATGGGATTAAAAAAATAAATTGTTCAAAAATTTGGATTTTGACTGAATAAAGCCAGCACTTTACATTTAATATTGAAATATGTACAGCACATGTTGTACAGAAGTTGAATTATATACATTTTCACAAAATGGTCACTTTCTCATGATGTGTAACCCAACACATCATTTAGTGATTACCACAGATTATGGGTGTATAAAACAGCCATGTAAGCCAACCTTAATGTTCCCCTTTTGGAAGTATAAAACGTTTCTTTCTAATGAAAATTTATTCTTCCTGTGAGCTGCGTTGATTGCAGCGCTGCTTCAGTAAAGCCTCCACCTCTCCTCTCCGTGCCAGGCTGTTGGCTTTGCCTTGGAATCGCCCGTTCTTCCCTGCTCCCTTCCCTTGGAGCAATTCTAACACTCTGGAAAGTAAACACACAGATATAGTGCCAACCTACATTAAGATTTTAACAGTAGAAGCTACATAAATATGAAAACTCTTACTGTGGTCCCATCTCAGTGACTAGTTCACTGGGTCCAGCCAGCAGAAACAAACCAGGTCCCTTTTCCTCTCCAACAGTCAGGAAAACCAGTGTTTCCTATAACCAGAGTAGGGATTGAAAATAAATATACTGACGTGGTAATGCCTAGCAGTAAAGCAGTGAAATTGTGATCTTACCTCAGTGTTTATTTCATTGGCAATGATATTCATAAACTCATTGTCTCCCTCTTTTCTACAAGAAGAACAAGAACACCGTTTTGTTATTGACATACTCACCTTGATGCCAAAACGTCACCAGTTTGTAAAGAATGGATCATTTCTGAGGGTTTTTTTTAAATGGTTAACTGGTTAGTGCAGTGTGCAATGACATCTCTAAGCAGAACCTCTTACTTGTGGAAGGTGAAGAAGTCTTTGTGAGGATCATTCTTAAAGCTCTGAGCAATGAGAACCGCCATATCACGAAGCAGGCTCAGGTTAGTCTGCCAAAGACAGTTTTGTAGTAGTTGAGGAGCCTTATATGCAATATCTTAAGCTGAAGCATATTTACCCTGTCAAAAAATCTAATTCTACTATTATTAATTTATTATTACCATACCATTTTTTTTACCAAATCTGTCAAACAGTAATCTAGAAAGAAACTGTTCTTACTTTCTGTAGCAGCTTAACAGACTTCTGCAACTTGTCGACTGCCTCAACGTGCTCATCTGGTCCCGTTCTGATGATAAATGACCAAAAGGAGTTTTCACTTCAAATTTCTGAATGATTCAAAGTTAAATTTTGACTATTCAGATTTAGAACTTACTTTAGAAGTGACACCAGTGAACGCTCTGTGTTGTAGCTTTTCTCTGCATACTTTAGTACCCTTTTTCCTGCCAGGAAAATTAGGTTGGTTTTGTTTTTCTTTCCTTTCTCAGTTCCCAGCAGCTTTATCACCTTAAATTTGAATACAAAGAAATTAGATACACAACGGTTAATGGCACAAACACTAAATATAATTGTGAAAGTGTCAATGTTGTACCTGTAAGTGACCGAGGTTGGAGACGTGGGTTCCACAGCACATGTTGGCATCTATGCCCTCTATATCAATGATCCGAATGGGTCCTGCGTGGTCCTCTGGCAGCCCTCGACTTCTCACCTGATTTGTACAAATACATATTGTGTAATACACTTAACACAGGGCAACAGGTCTCTTTTACAACCAGTAAGTGCAATATCTGTACCTTCTCCACAGCTGGGTCATCTATAGAGAGAAGCTGAACCATGACAGGAATGTGAGCTCTGATCTTCTCATTTACACATTCTTCCAGTTCCTGAAGCTGGCCAGGTTTCACACAGGGAGTGTCCAGCTCAATGGTGCTTCTTTGACGACCCAGTTCCCTGATAAAAACCCAGAAAATCTGTAATCCTACAAGGCTTAGTGGCTACATGGAAAAGAACATATGCAGTGGTAAAGTACCAGGATGTGGTCTTGTATCCAAACATTGTGTCTGCCAAAGCTGTAATCAAATGCTGACCTAAGAGTCAAGAAGAAAACAATTACTGCTTAGGCAACAGGTAAAACAAAATGCGCGATGGCGTTTTTTCCTGTCTCTGTGGTGATTATTACCCGAGTGCTGCTGCATATGATCAAATCTCCTTTCCCAGTCTACCTTCACTTGAACCTCCTGACCCACCTCCAGAGGTGAGGCCACAAAATGCAGGGCGTCCGGTCCCTGCCTTGTCACTCTCAAAACTGGGACATCTCCAAGGAATCCATGGTCATCTGGCTGCAGGAGGACAACGTAAAGCATGCAAATTTTGCAAGTGACATTGTACAGTCTCGCATTTGCATAAACATTTGCAATGAAGGAACATGTGACGTACACATTTAAATAATGGAGTAAGAGCTTGAAAGAAAAAGAAAATGAACATGCTTACCTGGCCACCTCCCTCAGGAAACAAGATGGTATCTTGTAGCTTGATGTGGAATCCTTTAATAGTTTCTTTCTTTCCATTTACTTCTTGTTTTAGTTCCGCCGGGCAGCAGGAGACTACAGAGGTAACAAACTGGAAGGGGACCAGAGAAATAACGATAATAATCGTGTCATATAAAATTTACAACCAGAAACATTACATGCTTCTTAAAGGACTGCAGTTGTTTAAGTGTGTGCAAGATTTCAGTCTCATACAAGACTTTATAAAGGTCTGGCTTTGTAAAGGACAATTTATGTGACAGCAAGTACAAAGACTGAAGACTTAAAAAAGGAGACAGTATCCTAAATTCTCTAAATGCATAGCATTTAAGGTGATTTATTACTTTTAAGCGGCGTTTTAAAGGAGAAAAATGATACGATCTGAAATATAGAGTGTGGAAATTACACAATTACAACCTCTAACAAAGTAAAACTGAATAAATCTAAGGTTATGTAAGATAAAAGTGCGACTCGTAGACTATATATAAACGACCTATAAATCAGTTGCCAGCCCTTGCTCTGGTTACAAAGGTAGCTAGCAGGTGCATCAGTTAGCAGGCATGCTAATCACTTCTGCACCGAACTGCTGATAAATTTCCGGGAGGTCTTTTCGGATGCTTTTAAAAGCTTCGCACCTCTTTCATATAGCAGTCTCGCTGACACTGAAAAGCCATTTTGTCCTGTTTTTGAAAGGAAAACTGCGCCAGCCGGTAGCACGAGCACGGGGAGGTGAAGCCTACAGCTGTCAGCTGACGCCTACGGGTACCATAATAGCCCAAACTTACTGACTTCGACTTTCGCTTCATAACTTTTTTAACTTAAGCGAAAAAGATTAATTAAGCCACTATTATTTAATCATCTTTTAAGTGCACTTTTTTTTAACAGGAGGAAGAGAAAACCTTAGGATGTGCTCTATAAAATCGAATAAATTGCAACCCGAATTGTAAAATGTAAATAAAACCAGAATGCAATGATTTTTTAAATCTGATACAGCTATAAATGATTCTCAGTAGAACGCAGACAACATACCAAACGTTGAAAGTGATGAAATGAACCGATTTAAGAGGAAATGGGGTAATTTCAAATTAGACAGCATTTCAACAAAAGGCTGGAAACGTTTTTTTTTTACAACTAGTTATGTTAACCGGCAACAGGTCACTAATATGACTACGTATAAAAAGCGAGGCTGTGTTTTTAGTGCATTACTACGAGTGTAAACTAAATTTGGGCTACTGATTGAGACTTTTAAATTTACTGCAACGTTACTGCCATCTTCTGGAGTTACCGACACAATCATGTTCTATATCCCCCAGTTCATTCAGCTAGTGTTATTACCTCAAGCAACATAATGCAATTTTGTGTTTAATAAAACTTTTATTATCAATCACATGCCGGTGTACAGTAAACAATTACAGAGCAATAAATAATCTCACATAAAATATCATCATACATTTAAAAACAGCATTTTGGACAATAGCACATCCATTTTTAGCATATAATACAGCTTTCAGTAAACAAACTGTTGTCCTCAGTATCCTGAGTTATACATTTACAGCAGGCTTCACCAGAGAGGATAAAGTATCAGTCAGACTGTTGAAAGGGAAAAAAATGGATGAATGGTCAGTCTCCGCAATAAAATGATCAATATAAGTTACAGATTTTCAGTCGGCATTGATTGTAGAATACTTAAATATAGACTATTGCAGAAGCAATTCCCAATTTTACATTGTACACTCCTCACTTATATGGAGAACACTTCACTTACATCACTAAGATCCCCCATATCTGGAGCTTCTCCTTTGTCACTGTTAGCCATCTCTCGGATCATCTGTAAAAGGAAAGCCATTTAAACAAAAAATAATGGAAGGTATTGCTGCATATTACATGCACTGGTATCAGAAGCAATATTGGAATTTGACTGATCTTATTACTAAGAAGACTGAATTCACTCACATCCACATAACGGTCATATTCCTCCTTTCCCTCATCGTCTTCGTGCTCCCAGTCCCTCCAGTTATCAAAGTCAACTGAAATCCAACTGGCCTATGGAATGAAGACATAACAGCACCATTTTAGGTATTATTTACTAAAAGTAAAGTTGCAAGGATTACAGAACATCCTACTTAGTTAGTTGTAATATCCTCAGGCACTCTATTAATACTTATATAAAGCTTCTCTTTGCTTATATAATGCATTTTTATGAGACGGAAACAGTGAGCTAAGACTTTTTCAACTTAGGGTTTGGGATTGAAGAGTACTACTAAACTGGTAAATGAATAGTGAGGAAGTATCATTGGTAAAAAAAAAAAATCTTCAGCCTCATAAAAACAGTCTTAACATGAGCCATGCTATTTTTATGAACCTGAGTAAATACCAGATGAGAAGAATAGAATACCTTGATACTGATCGGTTTAAGGACACAGACACAAACACGTGTGCTTACCTTAGCTGGATCTTTCTGAAGACGAGGCCAAGCACAATCAGGTTTCATCTTCCTTAGCAAGACATTGATGGTGCGGTCATAGACCCTTTCTCTGGAGTCCTTTCAAGTGATGACAAGTTAAAGGAGCGTTTAACAGCCTGCTTTCTGTACATTGAAGAATACAGAATATAATGCGGATGCTTACGTGGATCTGGACTTTGTCATAGAAGTGCAGCTCGTTGTAGTACACATCATCTGTTTCGTTTTTGCAGCTGTTGCAGAGAGGCAATGGGGTTGTCAAAGAAACCATTTTAGACATTTTCTAAACTGAATCACATGTGACTTCAAGAGAGGGAACGTCTTTAAAAACTCACCACAGAATCAGTTTGTCTGGCTGGATATCAACTTGGACATCTTTAGGTTTCTGAACCATGAAGTTGATGGTGACGTATTTCTTCCTGTCAAACCACAGCGCATGTGCTGGCTTGCTGTTAAAACACCAAGAAACTGCTTAGGAATCAAACCTGAAACCTTTTCATAATGAAAGATTTAGGAAAAAAACATGCTTTATTGCTCAGTGAGTTTGGCAGCACTTACCTTTCCTCTGGTCTGACAATTTTAGGTTTGTTCATTCTTGTTGTTGTTTTTAAATAAAAGAGAAGTTGCTATACAATTCCTTTTTACCAAGAGAAAGCTAACTCACACGTGTCCAGCTGAGTTAGTAGTGTGCCCTGATGCAGTGGCCAGGCCCTAAAAGCTATATATAGACCATCTGGTATCAGCTGCTAGGAGACTTGCCTGCCACAGCCCCTTCCGTGCCCTTTATAGCCTGACTGTGGAACACTCGGGAAAACAGATGCATTTTCTGGGTTCTCAAAGTGGTTCAGCCACCTTTAATTGATTGTTTAAGAGGATGGAGGTGGGGGCAGGAAGAATCCAACAAGAAAATTACCTAATGGGACCCCTTCAACACTTGGGAGGTTGTTGACCAACATTGCCTGAGGGATGCAATGGAACTTTAAGAATTTTGGACAAAATCTTGACACATTGATAATTTTAAAATTGATTTTGCTGAATTTATGAATCATTTACCAACATACACATACATGAATAATCAAGTGAATTTCATTTGACAGCGTTTCATTAAGTTTAAATCTTAGTTATGCAACAAAATTAAATTACTTAAAATCAGTATTTTGGCCATCAATATTGTTTAAAGAGTAGAATTGTAAATGTAAACTTTATATATAGGAAGGTAGATATAATAAAGATAAAATACTTTATTTATTTTCCAAAAGTAAAAAAAAAATCCTGTGGTAGACCAGCCAGAACATCCACTACATATATATATATATATATAAAAGTTTAAATAAAGTAGAATATTTCAATAAAGTATGTGTCAAATACACAATAACTTAATAATGTAAAAAAAAAAAAAAAAAAAGGAAAAATACAGTCAAATGAAATAACAGGGCTCAATAAGTAAACATGTTGATAAAATACAATATATGATAATAACGATATGACCAAATTGAAGTTAACCAAACAAAATATGAATATACAAGAACGTGGCTCTTCTAAGTGAAACAGCTCAGTAAAATCAGTAAATTCGACAAAGCAAAATTTAATAGATACAATTTAAAAGTCTTGAGTCAGCCTTTTTTTATATTTTGGTAAGGAAATTGGAACTATGTGCAGAAACTGACTGGAGCATGTGTAAACATAGATAGGCCAAAAACAGAGTTGGTAAAAATCCAACAAGTTTAAAAGGCAGCTTGGATAATTTTTACGAGTTTGAAAGTCAATATTTGGTATGGCCATCTTTATTCTCCAACACAGCCTGAACTCTCCTAGTCAAGCTACTGTATCTTGTAACTTCTTAAAGTAACCTTCAGGATGAGTTCTCCGGGGTTTTTAAAGGCTTCTTCTTTGGATAAAGGCTGTTATCCAATACTATTCCTTAAGAATAACTTCTTGACAGCCACCACAGCACTAAAGCAATTTCTGAGGCCAACAGTAAATGGATCCGCTGAAGTAACAGATATATCAGGTCTTGTGTCAGGTCCTTGATGGATTCCCCCCCCCTCCCCCCCTTTTTCTTAAGCACATGATTTTTCAGATACTGTTCATCTGCTGTAAATCTCAATTTTCAGTGATTTAACAAACAATAAAGCATTCCTCTGAAAATGGTCAGGTACAAGGACTGAACTGAAAATGTCCCAGAGAAAGCCTTGGGATCTATTGAACAAGAGCACTTTTTTCAAAATGGCAAGAAAGATTGGCTCCTTGGGAGTCATATTTTTATTAAAGAAAAAAAAAAGACACGATACTACGACAGTGCATTTCAAATTAACCCCCACCCAGCCCACTTCAGATTTTAGACAGGCATTAGTAATACATTTATTTTATCCGGAAGTCGCCCCCTGCTGGTCTACTGGTTACCGGAAATTCATTTCTTCGCTCTGTCTGAGCGAGGAATGCAGCTCGAGCTACTAAACGCTGTGTACATATAAACTAATAAAGTAAAAAATCTATAAATCATTAAACAGTTTATTTTTTAAACGTAACGTTTACATTTGCTGCTTTAGACCATCGTGAAGTAGTAGCCATCAAGAAGAACATGCCTCGTAGAAGACAGGTAAGAGTGCATGTAGGTCGCACAAGAGGGTAACGTTAGCTAAGTTAGCGCTAATGGTTAACCAGGAGGTTCCACCATATTCCATTCAATATTCTGACAGTGTAACGCGCTAAAACACGGTGTTAGCATCAGCTGATAAATCTGCACAGAATAATTTAAACATACTGACTTTAACTGCATTGCCACATTCAGCTTGTGTCGGTATTGTTCGAGCTCATTAAACACCCAGTGTACAGTTAAAAGCAGCTAAAAGAAGCTAAAACTTTTACTTCACGTTTGGTGAAATGTAACGGCGCTTTGCGGTTCATGTATATGTAGGCTTTGCCCTAAGACTAAAACAAGATCAGTCCTGCTTAAATTGCTGTTTGTGAATACAGTGTTGTGCCACATTGGCTGGGAAAAAAACAAATACTAAAAACCAAGAGCAGAGCTAACCGTTAACGCTAAGCTAACAACAATAACAGTTGACGTGCTAAGCAGACTGGTTACTTTGTCGTGGTAATTACTACACGTGTGACAGTATTTGGCCAGTTTTTAACACTAGTTTGGCGGAATATATTGCTTTGGTATTAGTAAGGGGTAGATGGTGTTAAGACCTGTTTATGCTGATAATAATAATTAAACAGCTAATGGAGAGCTATCATTTGATTGTAGCCAGTCAGAAATCGAAAAGAAAAATGTCCACAAACAGCACTTTTACAGTGTTACCTCAGCTACGCTTTTAATTTGGTGGATTTATGACTCAACAATGAATAGATATACTGTGAATGCTGAATTAACTGCTCTGTAAAACTGTAGTTGCTATCGCCAGAACAACTCTGTCTTTTTGGCTTGTGGACACCATCAGTGTTATCCATGCTTGTTTTTTTTCCACACCTCTATTTGACATTATTTAGTAAAAGGTGCCTTTCATTTACCGTTTGTTCCCCTGACAGAGACACATGGCTGGGAGTGGTTCAGATGGAACTGAAGACTCTGACTCCTCTGCTGAAAGAGAACAGACCAATAGCTCAGAAAGTGAAGGGACTGTGCCCAAGAGACAGCGCCTCACCAGAGCCTCTACTCGCCTTAGCCAAAGCTCTCAGGGTTGGCAACATAGCCTATACATATGCACACACACACACATATGTATATATATACTTTTACAGTGATTTGAAGATTACTTTTATTTTATTTTCCCTTAGATACTCAGGAATTAAAGCGAGCTGTGGATCACGATGAATCTCCACCACTGACGCCCACTGGAAATGCACCCTCCTCTGAATCAGAGTTGGACATCTCCAGTCCCAATGCCTCACATGATGAGAGCCAGGCCAAGGACCAAGCCAACAGAGATTCGGATAAAGATCTCTCCCACCGACCTAAACGCCGCCGCTGTCACGAAACCTATAATTTCAACATGAAATGTCCAACCCCGGGGTGCAATTCCCTTGGTAAAATATATTACTTTTTTTGCCAAACGTCAAAAGTGTTATTAAAAATTTGAACATGGGAAATATGGCATATCAGCAAACATCATGCTTATTTTTCTCTTTTTTCTTAGGTCACCTCACAGGAAAGCATGAACGTCATTTTGCTGTGTCAGGCTGTCCTCTTTACCACAATCTTTCTGCTGATGAATGCAAGGTGATTATTATAAATCATGTTCAGAATACTTTACAATATTATGTGAATTTACTTTATCTATACAGTTATTAACCTGAAACACTGGCAGTGGCTGGACTGTACAACTTTCTTTGGGACATAACTGATACTCCAAAGGTTGAGTGTAGTAAATGACAATTTCAGCTGTAGTACAAGTACACAATGTCTTTTGCTATCAGTAAAAACAGCCACAAGTAACACTTCATCACTTAAACAGGGATGTTCCCAGCAAATGTTATTAATGTTGTAGGTTGAAGTGGCTGGTATGAGTATTTGGCTGCCTGAGCCGTATCAGAGAGAAATGAGAGACCAAGAAGAGATATAATCCATGCTTTATTTATTTATCTATTTATTTATTTATTTATTTGTCAGGTAAAAGCCATTAGCCGTGAGAAACAAGAGGAGGAGGTAAAGGCACAGGAGGACAGCAACTCGCGCCATGCAACTCGTCACCAGGTAGGTCTGCTTTAGAAATGAGAGCATGACATTGAATTTTACACTTTGCTTAATTATCTGTTTATTATTTTAACTACTGTCAGTAATTTCTCATACCAGGAAAGTGAATTGGTTATTTATCCTTATTTGTAGACACCAACACCGAAACAGATTCGATACAAGGAGCAAGTGGCTGAGATAAGGAAGGGTCGAAACTCTGGCCTGCAGAAGGAGCAGAAAGAAAAGCATGTGGTACGTCACCAGTACTTTTGTTTTGCTATTTCTAAGCTTATTCCACCTCATAGCTGGCGTGTTACTTCATTTCCTGCTTGCCTTTTCTCGTGGCCCACAGGAGCATCGGCAAACACACGGCAACACCAGAGAGCCTCTACTGGAGAACATCACCAGTGAATATGACCTGGAGCTGTTCAGGAAAGCACAGGCCCGAGCATCTGAAGACCTGGTAATGATGGGGTTTCACATCTCCATAAGTACTTTCCTTTTAGCATTTTAGAATAAGATAAAAGGAAATGAAGCTAGAACTGGTGCCTTTCATTGTTCCAGGTACATTATTTTTCTTTAAAAACTGAGTTGTCACTATTTTGTTTTATTTATTTATTTTTTAAACTGTCAGTATGTTAGCATTCTAGTTTTTTGATTGATAACCTCATCACACACATTGGACATTAATGTTTCCCATCTTCATGCCTGCAGGAGAAGCTGCGCATCCAGGGTCAGATCACAGAGGGCAGTAACATGATCAAGACTATCTTGTTTGGTCGCTACGAGCTGGACACCTGGTACCACTCGCCCTATCCTGAGGAGTATGCGCGTCTAGGTCGTCTGTACGTCTGTGAATTCTGCCTCAAATACATGAAGAGCCAGACCATCCTCAGGCGACACATGGTGAGAGAGACTAATCCCAAGTCATTGGAGTCGTGCTACACTTAGAAATGATTTTTATAAAAACATTCTAAACATTCATTTTTTAAAGTTCAGTTTTGGCAAACAGCCGTTGCTCTTATTACATTATATATTTTTACTGCAC